AATACTGTGGTAGGAAAATCATGCATATGAGCAGTTCTGGAATATCTGTATGCAATAAAGCAAAAACAGAAAGGACCAGTCTTTATTTTTATGATCTACATTTTTTTTTTTGTAGTGGGGATTGAACCTAGGACCACTTAAGCACTGATCTACATCTCGAGCCCTTTTAATATTTTTCTTAGAGGCAGGGTCTTACTGAGTTGCCTAGGGCCTTACTAAGTTGTTGGATCTGGCTATGAACTTGTGATCCTCCTGCTTCAGCCTCCTGAGCCACTGGGATTACAGGCATGCACCACTGTGTCAGGCTTATGATCTACATTTCTAACTAGAGCTCTACTTCAGTGGAAAAAGGAGCATTTTGCTCTTCCAGTCATTTATTTTGTACTAATAAATCACATCATTTTATACAGGTAAAGCTAACCCAGATGCAAGCTTGCTAATATATTTTCCTTCCCTCTCTCCTTCCTCCCTTCTCCCTTTTCCCTTCTCCCTTCCCTTCCCTCTTTAATTAACTCCTGAAACTAATGTGAGTCTACACAACTTCTTGGTGATGATTTCCCACAGCCTTGAGGTAAAACCCATCTCCTGCCTCTTCACAGCCCCTACTTTACATAAAAACATTTCTGCACAAAATTGGAGAAAAAATTTATCTTTCAGTACAGATTTTCAAGCTGACTGAAAATATATAAATTTATTCTTATATGACAATCTCTGAATATTAAAAAAAATCTAATGGTAAACAGCTACTTTAAGAAATTGGTATGTAGAACTAAAAAAGAGGCTTTTGCTACACATTGGAAAACATCAAATTAAGAGAGATTAGATGTAGAATATCATTATGTTACATGCTGAAAGAGAAATACATGAAAATTAATATAGGACAGTATAAAAAATTATAGCAGCCAGGTATGGTGGCACACACCTGTAATCCCAGTGACTCAGGAGACCGAGGCAGGAGGATTGCAACTTCAAAGCCAGCCTCAGCAACTTAGTGAGCCTCTATGTAACTTAGCAAGACCCTGTCTCAAAATAAAAAATAAAAAGGACTGGGGATGTGGTTCAATGGTTAAGTGCACTGGGTTCAATCCTCAGTACCAAAAAAAAAAAAAAAAAAATTACAGCAACCTCCTGGCTCATATTTTCAACAGTTCCAAATCGACAGGACAAAGACATGATGGGGAGATAATGAAAACATCACTACCCCACAATTTAACTTCCTCTTGCTTCTAGGTCCCTGTACCCTTATCACTAAAGTCTTGATTTTCTGAGATCCTAGTGTTATCACCTAACACCTTTGGGAGTACTGCTTGAATTCCTGTCTCTCAAGTCTTGCTACTTCTGCCTAATTCCTAAAGTCATGACCTAGACTCTGGCTCCATCATTCATCTCTTTTAGTTTCTCTAACCTTCTTACCTGAATGGAGGCCTGGTTCTGGCTAAGGAGCTGAATTCACTGCAGCCCTCTCAAGCTGTGCATCTTCATTCTGTCCTGAGTGACCTCCCTCAGGAATGGGAAGTAGGATCAGTCCCCCTTGCTCTCTAGGTATTCTTTCCCAGAATTAATGTATAAAAAATACCCATTGCTTTTCATAGTTCCCTCCTCACTAGTGGAAAAAATTGCTACTTATTTAAGTTTTTTTTCTCTCTGAAGGAGGGCAGAATTTAGTGGACGTATACTTATGCACTGCTTAATGTTGGGGATGCATTCTGAGAAATGTGCTAGGCAATTCTGTCATTGTGTGAACATCATGAAGTGTACTTACATCAAGAGACTCAGTAAAAATGAGATGCATAGAACTGTTTCTCAAGCAACACAGCATAATGTTTTGCAATACACTTTAAGTATAAGGAGCATACTCTAAAATAATAATGAAAAGTATTTTAAGTAAATACATAATACAGTAGCAGTCATTTATGATCATTATCAAATTTTAGCTTCTGTACATAGTGGTATATGGCAAATGACTGGCAGTAGATGATGTCTGTTCATACAAGCATCCCTATAAACACATGAGTCATGTGCTGAACCATGATGTATGATGGCTACTACATCAGTAGGTAATAAAATTTCAGCTCCATTATAATCTTATGGGATCACCATTGAATATACAGACTGCCATTAACCCAAACATTATTATGTGGCATGTGACTGTACAATGAATATGTTCTGTGATACTGAATAGCTATTGTATGAGTGGTAGGTAAGCAAATGAGTTAGGAACATTGTGGTCAGAATGGAATTCTTCAGTGATTGTGGAAGTAGGAGAGCTTAAGATGGCAAAAAGGTTATATAAAGTAGGAGAGATCACTGGAAATCAAGGGATTAAAGTATTGGTTGAGAGTGGTACAGGTTTAGATGTCTACTAAGATCATGTGTGGGAGAAAAGATATGAGTAAGTATGGATATAGGAAATTTTCCAGATACATAGGCAAGAATTTTAAGATCTGATGGCTCTTATTTATTTCTTTTTCAAGCAGAGGTCATCTGCAAAGAGAAAAAGAAACATGGACAGTTTGGAGGAAAGACATGAGACTTGAAATAATAATTATAAAAATGTTCCAGTGGTCCTTCATCAGGGGGAACTGTAAGAATGTTATGAAACAGCCAGAATTGAACTGAGATTAGTGATCATTATATTCCATGAAGTTCATCTGATTATTTCCTTGGAATAAGTGTTTCTATGTGTTAGAGAACTGTGAGATTCACCTGGAGTGCTTATTTAGCACAGATTTCTGGGCTCTAGGTCCCAGAGCATCTGACTGAGAAAGTCTGGAATGTGGCCCCAAACTACATTTCTAGTAAGTTCCCAGGTGATGCTACTCATGGGGCCATGCTTTCAGGATCAGTGTTTTAAAGCTTTCTCCCTGTAATAATTCCAACCCACACTCTGGATTTGGTACATTTGTCTTTTTAAAAAAACACATTCTGAAAGCAATCAAGATTGAATTTACTGATACCTCATATCACTTTCCTGGTTTTCTAAATTCCTTTTAAATATTTTTAATAAATAGCCATCTAGCATCATTACAGTGTATTTCAACTCTTTTCTACTTAGACATTTCCTTCATGTTTCATACAATTCCCACCCACCTCCATCTGCCACAATTCCTATCAAATGGAATATTCTTTACACCTCTTTATAATAGCCTAAATATTACCCATGGCTCAAGGAGCTTCTTTATAAAGATTCCTTGATTTTGGTCCAAACTCTTGCCTTCCTTAATTGAACTATTAATGCATCAAGAGTTTTTGACACCTAATTTTGCTTCTTAATAATTTGTAACAAACCTTATTTATTTACATTAACCAATGGTAAGTGACTTGATGAAAGAAAACATTGTATATTAACATTTAAACATTGTATATTTCCACAAAAGTGTTCAACACAGCACTAGAAGAACTATAGGTACTCAGTGAATCTTGTTAATGGTATATAATTCTTAATTTTCAATAAAGTTTATATAAGAGGAATTACAGAATGTTGTCAATTTTATATTCCTACATATGTCTACATATAGAAATATATACACTCTTCAGAGAGCAATATAAACTTTAAAAAGTTCTTGACATCTTAAAGCCAATGTGAAAAAAATGCTAGGTAGATAGGTTATACCATCTGCTTGTTTGTGTTACACGTGTATTTTGAGTTTTCTTTTTAATAAAATAGCAGAAACTAGTGGACTTTTCTTTATAGCAATATAAGGCAATGACTTTTCTTACTTTGGTTAACTTGCACCAAAAAGTATAAAATAAGGAGTCAGAGGCTTCTACCAAGTAGAAATTTTATATTAATTGATTTATTTTCATGTTAAGACTAAAATCAAATCAGAATTGCTTCCTACCTTACTTTCTGCTTTATTTTCTGAAAGCCATATTGTTCAAGATACATTAATAAAGTAAATATATTGTAATTATAACCCTTCCCTTTATATGCCCACATTACTTCATTATTAGAGATTCAGGTTCATAGAATTCTAAAATATTTTGCCCAGAAAAATATTCTACATTTGAATTGTAATCTAATAAATATATATTTTATTAGATATGTTTGTTTATAATGTTAGTATTTTTTAAATGTTGATGGACCTTTATTTATTTTTATGTGGTGCTAAGAATCGAGCTTAGTGCCTCACACATGCTAGGCAAGCACTCTGCCACTGAACCACAACCCCAGCCCCTGTTATTTTTTGTGTATTACCCTCAAAATTAAATACTGTTCTACGTTTATTGAGGGAACAATAACAAAATAATAAAGAATTTTCTTTCATTATTTGTTTTTTGTATCTCTGTATTGTTTATCTCTGTATTGTATCTCTATTATTTTTTAAAAATTGGAGTGCCAGAAAAGTAACCTGTATTTTTAATCTAAGTTTTGATGTGGTTCTTCTAAGTTCTCTAGTTTCTCTGCCACATACCACTGCCAACCCCACCCAATAGCATGGCTTGATCTTTGTGTAATACTGAATCTCTAGAGAACAACTGATAAATTTTCTTTAGAGATAAACATAGGAAAGAATAATAAATCTGAAGTTTTGGAGAGGCAATCTCTTCACAAAAAGTACTCTATATACCAAATCTGATATATCACAGGACTAAAAGTATAGAAAAATATCGACATGCTTCTTATTTTTCCTTCCAACTAAACACATAAGTCAAGATAATAGCAATTAGTAATCAAAATGGAGGCCAATTGATAAGATGGAAAACAGAAAATTTCTTTGCACACAAAAGTTGCCTTTATTCACAGCATTTCTCAATTCTGATTTACCTGATTACTTTTTTTTCAACAAAGCTATATACCTTTGAAAAAGAATGGAAACTTCTGGAAAAAGTTTGTATTCCATAAGTCATCAGGCTCATTTTCATAATTTTGTTCAACCAAGACCATATTGGGTAAAATTTCTTTATGTTTCATGAAAATATTTGGCAAAGCTATAAAGAAGTCAATTTTAATCCTACTAAACAAAGAAGACAATCACATGGAACCAGTTATCACATACCAACTGCTGTCATGTAATCCCAGCGGTCAATGAGGCACATATTGAAGATGAGGTGATCAGATGTTTGCCCCTGGCCAATAAGTGAAATCTGCCTCTCCAAATTCTGGCATACTGATGAAGTCCAGCCAATGAGAAACCAGAATACTACCAAGAGTATTACTGCCAGCATCTTCATGACCCGGCCACCAGTCATGTATGGAATTCGTTGTGCAGTTCGTGAAAGAAACACCTTCAAAACCCTAGAAACACAGAAGATCAAATGTGAAAGTAAACCTAACAGAAAGTAAAACTCTAAAATAAAATATCTTATTTTTATATCTAAAATTTAAAACCACCAAAACTCAAGTATACAAAGTTTAAACATGAGAAAAATCAGAAACACTTCGTTCATATTTTTATTTCATTTTAGTTTACCTTCCAATAGTTGAACAAATATATTCATTAGAAGCCATTGGTCAACAAATTCATATCTGATGGAATTCTTTTGAATTGTCTTATTATTTCAAGAAAAATTCTGAAGACTTAGAATAATCTGTAGAAAAACATTACCAAAATAACAGGGTTTCTGAAGGATCAAAAAATAGTTCTGAAAGTAAGTAGTTAGCTTTTAAAATATTATATTAAGTCACATTCTTCCTTGAACCAATTATTTGTTTTCATAAAAGAATATCATCATTTTTGATTACAAGATGGTGGATTAGAGGAGAACTCGTTACATGACCCCCAGTTGGTGGACAGATGCTCCCCTTCATAGGAGCCCTCATCCATGAATTTAAACTTCATGGAGCTTGTGACAGGATTATAAACAGGGGCTGATCACAAAAACAGTCCAGAATGCGAGAAACCCCGAGTTGCTCCGTGAGTGGAAACCGGCCAGCGGAACTGAACGCTGCCAGCGGAATTAATGGAATTGAACGCTGCAGAGTGATGGCAGCTTAGAGACAGAGTTTTAGATCCTTTGGAGATAGAACGTGCCAGACCGCGAGTCGCATCTCCATGGGACATTGGACCAAGGACTGAAGTTTGGACTTAGTGGAGAAACAACCTAGTTCCTCCCCGTCACCGGACACCCCGGCATGGAAACGGGCAGTCGCCATCTTGGAAAATCTACCTCTTCAGCTTTGGGTGGATCTCACGGACAGCAAGATTAGTGATAGATCAACGGTGATGACTTGGTGAGTGCCCAACAAAGAGCGTTCAGCTGATCACGAGCACGGGGTGACCAGGGCACCACACACCCAGACTGAACCCAGGGCTGTGGAGAGGAGCCCCAGTGACTGGGGCCTGGCGAGCAGAAGTGAGGGGGGATAGAGACCTGGAGCAACCCAAAGAGATCGGGATTGGAGAGGTGCCTGGCAGGGGAGGGAGAGCTGCCCCACACGGATTGCTTCCTACATCCTGAGGGCAGAGACTCAACCTGGATGCACAATGACATCTACTGGTAAAGATGAAAACAAAACTCTAAGAGTGCATTTTTTTTCTTTCTTTCACTTTCTTCTTCTTTTTACTTCTCTTCTCCCTTCTCTTCCCCTCCCAACCTCCCAAGCATTACTATTTCAACTACATGTAATTTACTAAATGCACATCAAAATCTATGGGACACTATGAAAACTGTACTAAGGAAAATTCATTGTATGGAGTTCATTCTTCAAAAAAAAGAAATAGCCAACAAATAAATGATCTCACACTACATCTCAAAGCCCTAGAAAAAGAAGAGCAAATCAGCAGCAAATGCAGTAGAAGGTAAGAAATAACTAAAATCAGAGCTGAAATCAATGAAATCAAAATAAAAGAAACAATTGAAAAAATTGATGAAACTAAAAGTTGGTTCTTTGAAAAAATAAATAAGATTGACAGACCCTTAGCCAAGCTAACAAGAAGAAGAAGAGAGAGAACCCAAATAACTAGCATATGGGATGAAAAAGGCAATATTACAACAGACACTACAGAAATACAGAAGATAATTAGAAATTATTTTGAAACCTTATACTCCAATATAATAGAAGATGGAGAAGGCATTGATAAATTCCTTAAGTCATATGATTTTCCCAGATTGAGTCAGGAAGATATACACAACTTAAACAGACCAACATCATGTGAGGAAATAGAAGAAGCAATCAAAAGATTACCAACCAAGAAAAGCCCAGGACCAGACGGATATACAGCCAAGTTTTACAAGACCTTTAAAGAAGAACTAATATCAATACTCTTCAATCCATTTCAGGAAATAGAAAAAGAGGGAGTACTTCCAAATTCATTCTATGAGGCCAATATTACCCTGATTCCATAACCACACAAAGACTCTTCATAGAAAGAAAATTTCAGACCAATATCTCTAATGAATATAGATGCAAAAATCCTCAATAAAATTCTGGCAAATCGGATACAAAAACATATCAAAAAGATCGTGCACCATGATCAAGTGGGTTTCATTCCTGGGATGCAAGGCTGGTTTAACATACAGAAATCAATAAATGTAATTCACCACATCAATAGACTTAAAGATAAGAACCATATGATCATCTCGATAGACGCAGAAAAAGCATTCGACAAAATACAGCATCCCTTTATGTTTAAAACACTAGAAAAACTAGGGATAACAGGAACTTAACTCAACATTGTAAAAGCTATCTACACTAAGCCTCAGGCCAGCATCATTCTAAATGGAGAAAAATTGAAGGCATTCCCTCTAAAATATGGAACAAGACAGGGATGTCCTCTCTCACCACTTCTATTCAACATAGTTCTTGAAACACTAGCCAGAGCAATTAGACAGATGAAAGAAATTAAAGGCATAAATATAGGAAAAGAAGAACTTAAACTAGCACTATTTGCTGATGATATGATCCTATACCTAGCAGACCCAAAAAGTTCTACCAAGAAACTTCTAGAACTAGTAAACGAATTCAGCAAAGTGGCTGAATTAAAAAATTATAAATTAAAAAATTATAAAATCAACACCCATAAATCAAAGGCATTCTTGTATATCAGTGACAAATCCTCTGAAATGGAAATGAGGAAAACTACCCCATTCACAATATCCTCAAAAAATATAAAATACTTGGCTATCAATTTAACAAAAGAGGTGAAAGATCTATACAATGAAAACTATATAACTATAAAGAGAGAAATAGAAGAAGATCTTAGAAGATGGAAAGATACACCTTGCTCATGTATAGGCAGAATTAATATTATTAAAATGGCCATATTACCAAAAGCACTCTACAGATTCAATGCGATTCCGATCAGAATCCCAATGGCATTCCTCACAGAAATAGAAAAAGCAATTATGAAATTCATCTGGAAAATAAGAGACCCAGAATAGCTAAAGCAATTCTAAGCAGGAAGAGTGAAACAGGTGGAATCACTAAACCAGATCTTAAACTATACATCAGAGCAATAGTAACAAAAACAGCATGGTACTGGCCCCAAAACAGGCTGGTAGACCAATGGTACAGAATAGAGGACACAGAGACTAACCCACAGAATTACAACTACCTTATATTAGACAAAGGTGCTAAAAGCATGCAATGGAGAAAGGATAGCATCTTCAACAAATGGTGCTGGGAGAAGTGGAAATACATATGCAACAAAATGAAATTGAATCCCTATCTCTCACCATGCACAAAAGTTAATTCAAAATGGATCAAGGATCTAGGAATCAAACCAGAGACTCTGCATCTAATAGAAGAAAAAGTAGGCCCTAATTTCCAACACATGGAGTTAGGCCCCAAGTTCCTTAATAAGACGCCTATAGCATAAGAATTAAAACCAAGAGTCAACAAATGGGATGAATTCAAACTAAAATGTTTTTTTTTTTTCCTCAGCAAGAGAAATAAAATGTGAAGTGAATAGGGAGCCTACATCATGGGAACAAATTTTTACCCCTCACACATCAGATAGAGCTCTAATCTCTAGGATGTACAAAGAACTCAAAAAGTTAAACAACAAAAAACCAAATAACCCAATCAACAAATGGGCCAAGGACCTGAACAGACACTTCTCAGAAGAGGATATACAATCAATCAACAAATACACGAAAAAATGCTCACCATCTCTAGCAATCAGAGAAATGCAAATTAAAACTACTCTAAGATACCATCTCATTCCAGTAAGAATGGCAGCCATTATGAAGTCAAACAACAAGTGCTAGTGAGGGAAAAAGGTACACTCATACATTGCTGGTGGGACTGCAAATTGGTGCAGCCAATTTGGAAAGCAGTATAGAGATTCCTTGGAAAACTGGGAATGGAACCACCATTTGACCCAGCTATTCCTCTTCTCAGACTATACTCAAAAGACCTAAAAACGGCATACTACAGGGACACAGCCACATCAATGTTTATAGCAGCACAATTCACAATAGCTAGATTGTGGAGCCAACCTAGATGTCCTTCAATGGATGAATGGATAAAAAAATGTGGCATTTATACACAATGGAATATTACTCAGCACTAAAAAATAACAAGATCATGGCATTTGCAGCGAAATGGATGGCATTAGAGCAGATTATGCTAAGTGAAGTTAGCCAATCCCCAAAAAACCAAATGCTGAATGTCTTCTCTGATATAAGGGAGGTAACTCAAAATGGGGTAAGGAGGAAGAGCATGAGAAGAAAACTACCTCTAGATAGGGAAGATAGGTGGGAGGAAAAAGGAGAGAGAAGGGGAATTGCATGGAAGAGGGAAGGAAACTCACTTCGTTATACAGAATTCAGGTATGACGATGTGAGGGGGAAAAAAAAGAAGTGGGTCACATTAGATTGGTATAGAGAAGTGATGGGAGGGGAGGGGAGGTGAAGGGGGGAATGGAAGGACAGCAGAATAAAATAGACATTATTATTGCTGTGTGTATATATGTGACTGCATGACCAATGTGATTCTGCAACCTGTACACTCAGAAAAATGAGAAATTATATCCCATCTGATTCAAATGTATGATATGTCAAGATCATTGTACTGTCATGTGTAACTAATTAAGACAAATAAAAAAAGAAAAAAGAAAACAAAATTTTCCATAACTCTAAAAAAATAATATCATCAAGAGTATTTTCTGGACAAAATTCCACAGTCATTTTATCACATTACCAAAAATAATAATAAATAATTATAAAAACAATGAGGGATATTTAAACACTAGGTTAATTGCATAAGATCATTACATTAATGAAGGAGATTTGGATGATATAAGAAATGTGATTTTTAAAAATTTGGAGTATTTTCTATATATATGACTCAAA